GAGAAAATATCTATTACCACGTATTTTCAATGAGATATTTTTTGTAAATGAATGTGGTAATAAAGAAATATTTAAAAAGAAGTTAAAAGCGTGATTATATGAGTAATAATTAATATTTTCTTAATAAAAGTCATATTAATTGTTTATTAAATTAATTTTAAGTGTGTTTACTGAGTTTAAATATTAATAAGGTTACATATAATAAGGAATGTAACAGTAGTAAAGCGCTTAGTTTAATCTTTATTTAGTTTAAATCTTTTAAATTAGTGTAAATTTAATTTTCTTATTTTAAGTTTTTAAGGATTGCTTTTTAAATTACAATAGGTACAGTTTATATGTATTTAAGTTTTAAGGATTATAATATTTACAGTAGGTACATAAAATCTAGGAGGGTGATGTATTCGCCAAAAAACTGCCCTGCAGTTTGGCGAAAGTTGTATAAGAAAAAACCGACTGTATTTTTGTGTAATAAATAAATAAAAAATACAAACGGGTGGTCCATTACAAAATTGGTGAAAATTTTTTTCTTGGGGCGGTGAAAAAGGAGATGTATTTTTTTAAGTAAATATTTTGATGGAATTCTATTTGTTATTTAACCTGTGATATTCTGTAGTGTAATCAAAAGAGCCAAAACATTAAACTTTTAATAGAAAGGAAAAGCCGACATCTAAAAACTTAACATAATTTTCACATACTAGCTTCTGAAGCTTGGGTCTCAATTCTTCTAGACACTTTGTTTTCGCATCGCTTTCTTTGAAGTCAGCCTTATCTTTTTATTTAAAGAAAAGTTTTAAAATAAGATATCTTTAAGTCCAAAGTCGGTTTAGTTCAGAAACTAAGTGCTAAACCCTCCTCGTAAATTTCAAAGTATGTGAGCAATCGGTTACGATCCTATCTGGCATCAATGAAATTTTTAATTAAAATTTCAAATGATTTTACCCACGTGCCAGATGTAAAATGATGTAAAAAGATGTGCGGGTTTTATGGAACTTTTCCGCGCAAAAGGACATATAGCTGACGTGAAGCACCGACGCTCCGGGAAGTCTGCAGTCTGCGAACATGTTCAAGATCCTCGCAAAAGAACACTGATTCCTACCAAGGATGATACGCGATGCTATTGAAATTAAAAAACATCCAAATTTCAATAGAGAAGATGGATGGGTGCTGCCACCTGCTTGGGATCCTATAATTAACAAAATTAAACTCAAACCTAAGCATACCACAGCAAGACTTCATGATACTATAAGCTCGTTTTGCGTAAATCGGACCAAAAATTAATATTTTGTTTTGGTATTGGGACGTCAAACATCTCATTCCCCCCCCCCCCGTGACCATGGGTGCTGTAAAGCACCCGAAACGTCGGGAATTAAAAATAAGTAAAAGTAGTGAAATAAACGCGATAAATCCGTAAATTTAGTTTTATTCAATGTGTAGTGCTCGCGTAAATTTAAGAAATCATTATAGGAAACCTACATGTCTGAGGAATATATGTTAAGGTTTATACTGTGCAACCAATTTACACGCACTGTGGCAGTGTATTAGTCGCAAGAAACTCTTCATAACAATACATTAGTAGCAAGAAGTCGTTACTTTTAATTAATACGCTTTAATTTCTTTTAGAATTAAGAGGCGGCCTGTCACTTTAATTTTAGTTATGTATCCAAATTTGCATTTGCAAAGTTAAATTCCAACTTAAAGCTAGCTTACTACTTCCTTAAACTCGTCGTTGTAATATACCTGTTTCGTATGCCAGTAAGAACATCGACACTTGAAATTTATTTATGGTTGTTACGTAGCAAAAGTGCCAAGTTTCATGCTTCGACTTAGCCTTTTAAATCCCGTGTATCACATTAATGGGACGTTAGGATTCAAACAGTTCTTAAGTGTTTGCCTACTTACACATATTAATCATTTTAAACATTATTTCGAACATTCCGGTTCAAGTCTCCAATGTCTACAGATTATCAAAAGTCCACCGCTGGGAATAGATTAACTCATAGGAGATTTATTGTCGTAGTTGCCTTATGCAAGAAGGAATGCTTACGGATTTGTGGCGCTTAATCAAGACGCAAACTCTTTGCAAACTCGTGCGCGATTGGAATGCCTTGAATTGAACAAGAGTTTGTAAAGGCAGCTAGCGTGACAAAATCATGCGTGTTTCAAGGCAATACTGCCTCCTAGTGAACACGGAAATGAAAATACGTGCCACTTGGTAACACTTCCTCAAAGAAATAAATAAATAAATTCTTTCCCTATGCTTGAGAGGCAATGCGCTATCACTTAGAGCACTTTAGCTACTGAAATAAGAGATGAGAAATGAGAAACTATGAGAAACTCTAAATAACCCGGTCGGTCAATGTGTTGACATAGCTGCATTATCTCAATAATTCTGAGTTACTTTGAATTCTGAGCCATCCCTATTCAGATCCCCTTTTAACAAATAACTTGCTCCTTTTTAGCATCTTTCCCCTTAGTTTTAGATGTATAGATTATTTTATACGCGGTAGAGACATCATCATTCATCATCATCATTACAGCCCTTCACAAGTCCACTGCTGAACATAGGCCTCCCCAAAGTAATGCCACAAAGCACGGTCCTGAGCCACCTGCGTCCATCGACTTCCCGCATATCTTACCAGGTCGTCACTCCATCTAGTGGGGGGTCGCCCTACACTACGCCTACCGGTACGAGGCTGCCACTCGAGAACCTTTCTTCCCCATCGGTTATCGGTTCTTCGAGCTATATGGCCGGCCCATTGCCACTTCAGCTTACTAATCCGTTGGGCTATGTCGGTCACTCTGGTTTTACTGCGGATATCCTCATTTCTGAGTCTATCACGCAGAGAAACTCCGAGCATAGCCCTCTCCATAGCTCGCTGAACGACCTTGAGCGTCCTCATACGGCCAGCAGTGAAGGACCACGTCTCAGATCCGTAAGTCATCACTGGCAACACGCACTGGTTGTACAATCTAGTTTTTAGAGATTGAGGTATACCTGACGAGAAGATATGTCGTAATTTCCCGAACGCTGCCCAGCCGAGTTGAATCCGTCGATTGACCTCTCGCTCGAAGTTGGACTTACCTAGTCGGACTATTTGTCCCAGGTAAACGTACTCGTCAACAACTTCGAGCATAGTGCTCCCAACAACTACCGGCATAGGTGAGACATGTACATTAAACATGATCTTTGTTTTGTCCATGTTCATCTTAAGACCTATCCGTTGGGAGACACCATTGAGGTCATTGAGCATAGTGCTAAGGTCCTCCAGCGATTCTGCCATGAGGACTATATCGTCGGCAAATCGAAGGTGAGTGATGTATTCGCCGTTGATGTTAATACCGTATCCTTTCCAGTCCAGTAGCTTGAAAACGTCTTCCAATGCAGCGGTGAAGAGTTTCGGGGATATAACGTCACCCTGTCTTACACCTCTCTGCAGTTGGATAGGTTTCGAGCTCTGATTCTGTACTCGGATAGCCATCGTAGCCCTACTGTACAAACACCTCAGCACTTCGATATACCGACAGTCAACTTGGCACCGCTGAAGGGACTGTAGCACCGCCCAAATTTTGACGGAATCAAAAGCTTTCTCATAGTCCACATACGCCAGGCAAAGTGGAAGATTGTACTCCTCAGTCTTCTGTACAATCTGCCGCAGGGTATGTATGTGGTCTATAGTACTGAAGCCTTTTCGGAAACCGGCTTGTTCGGGAGGCTGGAAGTCGTCGAGTCTGCGTGCGAGACGATTCGTAATGACTCTCGAAAACAGCACGTAGACGCGGCTCAAAAGGGAAATCGATCTGTAGTTCTTCAAGAAAGCGTTGTCGCCTTTCTCGTAGAACAAGACCACTGCACTTCTGCTCCACGCCTCTGGAGTAGTGCCACCATGGAGGACGGAATTGAAGAGCTTCTGAAGGACTTCAAGTACCGGTGTTCCACCCGCTTTCAGAAGCTCCGCTGTAATTCCATCCTCGCCTGGGGCCCTGCCGTTTTTAAGGTGCTGGAGAGCCATTCTAATCTCGCCTAGACTGACGTCCGGGATATCATCGGAATAGTGTCGGATAAGACTTGCTCTTGGATCATTACTCACACTTGCGTGTGGCTCCAACGATGAATTGTACAACTGGCCATACAACCTCTCAATCTCACTCAAAATCTCAGGTGTCCCGGAAACGATGCTGCCACACTCAGTCTTCAGCTTTGACAGTAGAGACATGCTGCAGTTATATTAATAGTATAGTTGTAGCACGAATGGGTCGGCTCGACCGGGGAAGGACAATACTCTCACAGAACACCTTAATACCGCTGTGTTTCGTATAATGAGTGTAGAGAACCGGAGACCCTTTTTACTGTAAAAATTTTGATTCGTAATCGAGGAGGTATTATTTAGGAAGAGGGCGTCACAGCGTCACTGTCAACATCGTACTCGCTATTAAATAAGTTTTAAAATTATTTTTGTGTTCCAAAACAAAGTGATACAATCAAAATATAAAATTAGTGCATAAAATAATTCGAACAATATATAAAACATAGTGCATATACAATAAAATTTATCAAAAATTGCATAAAATCGTTCTATCAAATGCCACTAGAAATCCGTTAAGATACCAAGAACATATTATTAAAGTGAAAAATTATTAGTGTAGCACGTGTACAACAAAACTGGAACTTGAATTATATTAAAACTGTAAGTAAACCGAAAGCATCAAGAACTATAACCTCAAAAGTGCTATGTAATCACAGTAAATATCTCTGTTTTTAAATCATCGATCAAGGTATCTCACAGCGCCATCTATTATGATCCATCATAACTTTTAAGCCAGGTCCTAGTTCGACGCGCATTCTGATATCTCGAAATATTTAGGACACCTCTTAATACACTTAGACAACTCGATCGCTACTAAGTCAACAAGTACTTACCTCTTCCCATAGAGGGCGCTAAGCGAAATAAGCGAACTAATTATAACCAAATATGGACGAAATAAAAAATATGTTAATTAGCATGCAACAAGATATAAAGCAGCAAAAACAAGACATGCTAGAGATGAAAGAAGATATTAAAAGTACTATAATTAACAGCCTCAGCGAGAAGTTCAATAACTTAGAATTGAAATATGAGCTTTTGGAGAAAAAAATTAAAGAGCAATCAAATAAAATTAACAACCTAGAAAGACAGTGTAGACGTAAAAATCTGATTCTTTTTGGCGTTGAAGAGACAGAAAAATCGTACGACGAACTGGAAAAAATGGTAATAAATATAATAAATACATACATAAAATTACATTCAATACTTTAGGTTTCAAATTAAAAATACAAAAAAACAAATATAACCTACAAAACACTTCCTATTACTTAAAAGAAGACTACCCATTCGAAGTCTTAATTAAGCGTAAAGAGCTACAAGTCCAACTACAGAAAGAAAAAGATGCAGGAAACACCGCTTTTATAAAATACGTCAAAATTATTATACTGACCAGCTAAAACCCCCCACAGAAACAGTCAAGCAAAAGAAACCTATCAGAGTCCCCGGAGAAGCTCCACCCTGTTAACCAAAATGTTCAACAGACTAGTAAACCACCACTTAAGAAAAATAAAGGGGACATGAAGAACTACATAACACAAAAGCACAAACTAATCATCGCTCATACAGAATCAACTCGACGCCAATCGAAGATATCAGACTACAACACAGCAAAGCAATCAAAATCGGGCCCTCTTCCAACCCTTAATCTCCCAGTACGGCCGGTCACCGCGGGAGAGTTCGACCAAAACCCCCCCAAGAACCACTATCAAAATGAAAAATACCGTCTAGGAGAAAAGACAATTGTAGCGTGTGCGGGTGGTAATTGGCTAGACAGAGCTATTGACAAAGAAGGGTAGCAAACCTTGAGGGAGGCTTTTACCCGAACGGGGTCCATGCATTAAAAATCAAACTACTTACTATATATAACTAACTAAAATAATAAGTATACAAATGTAATTGATTGTTGAATGTTATAGGGAAACAAGTTAAGAAATGTATCGTTTAATATGCTTTATTATTATTATTATTATTTATTTTTATCACATATATTATCACAAAACTATAATATTATAAATATATATACAATCTATATAAATAATATTATTATTTCGGTTATTATCCACCGCGGCCAGGAATTCTAAGCCATCGGTGAAATTAGGCATCCAAAGATAGGAACCTTCTTACTATTTGAGCCGTATTTAATAAGGCCGATTTTTGAATTAATGCCTTCAGCCATTTGCCCAAACCTAACTTGGACAGATAATCGTCCATATTTTTACCAATAAGCGCATGAACTGAAACAACTATTGGTACAATAATAGTAGAATCAACGTTCCACATAGCGACAATCTCATGAGCCAGGTCGATATATTTAATTTTTTTATCATTCTCTGCTTTTACGAGATTCTCGTCATGAGGAACACTGTTATCCACTATTATTGCCTTGCGTCTAGTTCGGTCTATCAACACAATGTCAGGTTTATTTGCCACTATAAGCCTGTCGGTGATAATTGACCGATCCCAGTACAGTGTGACACTTCTATTTTCAAGGACTGGCTTTGGTTCATACTTATAATATGGAACGTCCTGTTGAGTAAAGCCAAATTTAATGGCAAGCTGTTGGTGTATTATTCTAGCTACTTGGTTATGTCTGTGCAAATACTCACCATTTGATAGTTGTGAACAACCGGAAATAACATGTCTGAGGGACTCTCCAGGGTGGTGACATGCGCGACATACGTCAACTGTGCCGTCCCTCAGAATGTATCTCCGGTAGTTGTTCGTTTTAATTACTTCATCTTGTATTGCACAGATAAAACCTTCAGTTTCTGCAAAAAGGTCACCAAATTGTAACCAATATACTGATGCAACCATGTCTACACAAGGATTAGTCAATGCTTTAAAAAAATCGACCATGCAGTTGTTTGTCATTCCAAACCTTTTTGCGTTCATCCATAGTCATAGTATGAGGCCTCTGCCAGTCCTTTGCCGACATATTAAGCGGGGTTAACGATTTGTCATTAATCACTACGTCGTTATGAATGTGTGATGTGTCTTTTTTTTAATAAAATTGTCTCTGAAGTTGTATACTTCACGGTTGTGCAGGTTTTTAATGTTTAATAAGCCCCGTCCACCATCTTTTCTTGGAAGATACAACCTCATGACAGATGATCGTGGGTGGTGCATTCTGTGTGTAGTCATTAATGTACGGACTCGTCTATCTAAGTCATCCAATTCTGTTTGAGACCACCTTGTAACACCAAAAGTATATAGAAGGCTAGGTAGGCTAGCCCAGGAGTTATATGCTCTAATTTTGTTTCCGCCGGATAAATGACTTTTGATAACTTTTTTTTAATCTTGACCTAAATTTTACTTTTGAATTTTCTTTAATATTTTTGTCATTAATTCCTAGTACATCTGCCATGCCCAAGTATTTATACTGAGGTGTAAGTCATTTGTAATTGCAAATTTATTACAATCTTTAATTTTGCCCCTATTTACGTTGATGACAGCAAATTTATCTATTCCAAATTCCATTCTAATATCATTGTTGAAACTATGTGTTAATTTCAACAATAATAGTAGATACTCTCTTTTGATGTGAATAGTTTGAGATCATCCATATAAAAAAGATGTGAGATCGGTGAGTTTTCCTTTTCGAAACCGAAAACCTAATCCGGATTCCTCAATAGGAGTGCTTAAAGGATTCAGGGCTAAACAAAACAAAGTTGGGCTCAAACTATCTCCCTGGAATATACCCCGTTTAATATTTATAGAGTCTATCGAACTACTTTGCCACTCACCTGGTAGATTTAGGATAGTGTTCCACTGACCCATTAATTTACTTAAAAACTTACAAATTTTGTCATCTATTTTATATATTTGTAAAACTCTCTTTAGCCATGAATGTGGAACAGAGTCATATGCCTTTTTGTAATCCACCCAAGCAGCGGACATATTTTTGCGATTACGATAGACTTCTCGGCAAATAGCAGTGTCAATGAGAAGAAGTTCTTTACAATCACGTGACCCTTTCCGACATCCGTTCTGTGCAGTTGAAAGAATGTTATTATTTTCCAAATGTTTATGGATCTTGTTATTCAAAATTGCAGTTATTAATTTATATACAGTTGAAAGGCATGTTATAGGTCGGTAATTTTTAGTTTCAGTGGTGTTTCCATTTTTATATAGTAAGTGGGTAATACCAGTTGTAAGAAGTCTCGGGAGCTCACAACACTCAATGGCTTCTTGAATCTGTGCAGCCAAACGCACGTGGCTACTTGTTATCCATTTCAGCCAAAAGTTGTGTATACCATCTGGTTCAGATTTCCAATTATGTAATTTACGAGTAATTGAGTGTACATCTTTAGCAGTAATTGAAATAGAACCCATATTAGCCAAATTAGAAAACTTACGTTCGGTTGCACGAATCCAATCACCTTCATTATGAGAAACTTCGTTAGACCACATACTTTTCCAAAAATTTAGACATTCATTTAAGCTTGGGCTGCCATGAGTACAACTATTAGTTGTAGTGTTCTCCCAAGACCGATACACCCTCTTTTGGTTAATTTCGAATGTGCGATTCTAGAGTACCGTTTAGATCTTTCTGAATATCGTCTAATACGGTTGTCCCATGCTTTTAACTTTTGTTTTTGTGTATCAATGAATTCAGTAATTTTATCCGGAAAATGGGGATCCGATTGGCTAGTATCATTTTCATTAGCGATTTTATTTACTAAAGTAATTATTTTTTACGTCTGTTACCTGTTTGGTAGCTTATTAATTTTCCTATAATTTTGCGAGTATTGTCAATTCGTTTTTGAATTCTTTGTTTCCATTTAGGTTCTGTATTATTTTTCTTAAAATTTTGTACTGAAATGACAGGAATTTTCATTATCATACATATAGCATGGGCACAACAGTATAGAAGAGACATAGTTTCCAAAATAGAGTTACTTTTTTCAAAATAATCTTTACATAGAATATTCATTGATGCTACTGTTAAAATAGTTTTTTTGTTGTTAGGAAGTTTAGGTAGTTTCGGTCTATTTTCTATAGTTGTATTTTTATATTCCAGAAGGGGACATTCGAAAGTCCTTTTCATATATTCGCTGTCTTTGGAACTCACATCTATATCAAAATAATTTTGCTCTACTTTTTCGTTATTTAAGTTAGTAATATTTATATTATGGTTACTGATATTTACATTTAAGTCATCAGTCTCACCTGGAAGTGTTCGTTGGGAATCAGGAATTGAATTGATAGTAGATGTTGAGTACTAACTGCAAAGTTGTTCAATTAATCTGTCGTCCAAAATCTTACGACTTAGAATGACACGTACTTGATCTGAAAGTCTTTGGACAGTTAAGTTTGTTAGGTTGGGTTGTAGCTGTGGAATTCAGACGCATTTTAGGGCGATAAGATGTAAGATTGGTTCCTCCTTTGGTAGCCTTATAGTACGCGCGCATAACACTTATATTTAATTCTTTAGTCCAGCGCATGCGTCGTCGCACTACACCATCAGTAGCGGGGTCCTCATGTAGGATGGTATTTCCTGCAGGTCCCAAGCCAGCCGCTGGTGCTCTTCGTCCCCTCAAAGATGGTACGGGGGTTCTTCTTGTGCCTCTTGGATTACATTCCATGGATGTGTAGTCCTCCGTAGGCGATGTTACGTGTGCGATTGTGGTATTGGCGGTATTTATTCGTATTTGTCGTCTCGTTCGATGCATAATGTAACGTTAAATTAAATATTTTATAAATCTGTTTGTAAAATTTCTTAGATGACAGTTGTCAATTTGAAAGAAATACATTTTTCTTGAAATTAGTTTCTTATCCACAGATTTTCAAAGTTTTATTTATATTGATATTGTAAAATCTATTTGCGTTAAGAATTTGTTATTTGGGAATTTGAAACATATGCTACAAAAATTCATTTTTAAGATTTTGTACTGACTGCATCATTTACTTTTGACAACGTCCGCCATTTGACATGGCGGATTCATTCCATTTTTTATTATTATTATTATCTGGGTATCTGTATAGTTTTCTCATCTGGTTGGTTTCTATAAATATATAATTATAAATTAAAATAAAAAGATAAATATAAATAAATATCAATAAAATAAAATAAATACAAAAAATACACAAATAAATAAAGATCCAACCAGATGGAAGCCCTCGGCAGGGGAGACCAAACGGCCGAGGGTTAGGGGGAAAAGGGAAAGAAACCGACGGACGATGCGGGTGGTATCGAGAACCACTGCCTTCTACATTTGAGCCCGGAGCGGTCCGTCACGGAGTCCCAGTCGCCTCAGATGACCCGAGAGGCTGACTGGGATTAGCCCATTCGCAGAGACGACTACAGGAATAATTTCGGTCGGCCAACCACCCCACATGTCGGCCACCTCATGAGCCAGGTCCAGATATTTTGTTCGCTTATCTGTTTCGGCTTACACGAGGTTCTCGTCATACGGAATGGTAATGTCGACCAAAAATATCCTTGACTGTGCCCGGTCCATCAGCACAATATCAGGCTTATTCGCAAGAATAGTCCTGTCTGTGATGATGGCCCGGTCCCAATAGAGCCTGGCGCGGTCATTTTCGAGCACGGCTTCCGGCAAGTACTTGTAATACGGCAATTTCCGATCCACGAGACCGTATTTCAGAGCGAGCTCCTGGTGAAGAATTCTGGCTACTAGGTTGTGCCTGTGCAAGTACTCAGAGTTAGAAAGCGCCGAACAACCGGAGATGACATGCCTAAGTGACTCCCCGGGATGGCGACAAGCTCGACAGACGTCGACGGTGCCATCCTTTAGGATGTATCTCCGAAAGTTGTTGGTCTTAATAACCTGATCCTGTATTGCACAGACAAAACCCTCGGTTTCTCCGAAGAGGTCACCGAAACGTAGCCAGTTGAGGGAGGCGACTGTATCTACGAAGGGCTCATGTAGAGCCCTGTAGTACCTCCCGTGGAGCTCCTTCTCCTTCCATACGGTCTCCCGGTCGGAAATGCTAAGCACTGCTGGGTCCTGCCATTGCTCGTTGGCCAAGGATAGAGGGGTAAGCCCTTTATCACTAGAAATGACGTCATTATAGAATGGATCATCCGATCTCGCCAGGAAGTAATGACGGAGGCTGCACACTTCACGATTATGCATAGTGAGCGCGCTCAGAAAGCCACGCCCACCATGCTTTCGCGGCAAGTACAGCCTCATTACCGACGATCTCGGATGATGCATCTTATGGGAGGTCATGGTAGTGCGGACTTTTCTATCCAGGGCGTTAAGTTCAGTCTGAGTCCACCTGAGTATGCCAAAGGTTTACATAAGGACAGGTATGACCCAACCGTTATATGCGTGTGTCTTATTCACACCGGACAAAAGGCTGTTAAGCTTTCTGGTTTGAGCGCGCGACATCACCTGATTTGAGTCCAGGTGACAAGTGATTCTCGCGCTCAAAATGGATGTTAGTGTCTTGTATATGGTCGGTAGACACGTGATGGGGCGGTATTTGCTCAGGTGCTGTGGTGCCCTGGTCTTTAGGAACCAAATGAGTGATCCCAGTAGTGAAGAGGCTTGGGAGCGACTTCTGGTTGAGAGCCTCTTGAAACTGTCGGGCGAGCACAGAGTGACACACCATGAACCCCTTCAGCCAGTAGTGATGCAGCCCGTCAAGCCCCGGACTTTTCCAGTTCGGGGCCCTACGGACCGCCTCAGCTACGTCATCCGGCGTTATGATGACGGGGTCCATGGGCGTAATACCCGCACACTGACTCGCCACAACTTTCGTCCAAGGGCCCTCGCTGTGGTTTACGGGCTCTGACCATAGGCCGCGTCAGAATGCTACAGTGTTGGCCTGATTCGGTGCTGGACCCGTTCCACTTACCATTGGTCGCTCCAATGATTTATAGAGCCTCTTCTGATCACTCTGGAAGAGACGATTCTGGTTGAACCGTGTCGACCTCTCGGTATATCGCCGAATCCGCTTTCCCCAAGCAGCGATTCTCTGCTTCAGATCGTCTATGCGCTCCGTCAGTTTTTGCGTTATATCCGGCTGGGACAAACTGACATTTGTCCCAGCAAACGCCATCCTGACGGTGCGCACAATTCTTGGCTTGTTGTTGCCTGATCTGAAGCATATCAGTCTGCCGATGAGAGCTCTAGTCTTTGCGATACGTTCCTCAATTCTTCTTCTCCATGCTGGGATAGCGCTACTATGGCCAGTAGCGCGTCCAGCCGTGGAAACCTTGGCGCCTATGATACGGCAGACTGCCAGCGCGGCGCCAAAAAGAATTGAGTCCGTCTCGCAAAGGTCCCGGCTGGCTTCCAAATAGGTCACCAGCATTGGGTTCAGAGCCCTCACGACAGTCCGATTCCGCTTGCTTAGGGCTATGCGGGGAAGTCGCGGTTGATTTTCGAGAGGCGTTCTGCGCGTTTCCACAATCACCTCTTCCAATGTACTCCTCATATGCTCTAATTCCAGTTCCTGGGCGACTGTTCCATCATCGTTTGAATCAACCACAACTGGGGTATTCACGGCGGCATCCACGTTTGCGGGTTGCTCTACCATTTGTGGCGCCTCATCCTCAGCCGTAGCATTCTCATCCGACGAGGAAACAGCCTCACTTCGTAGCCGTTCGAGTTCGGCGACATCAAATATATTTGAGCGCAAGTTATACCGAACTCGGTCTGCCAGGTTTTGCTCTGTGACGGTTAAAGATGGCTTCAGCTCAGCAAAAAGACGATGCATCCTAGCCCGATACGCCAAACATCCAGTTTCTCCCCCTTTCGCCCTAAAATACGCCCGCAATGCGTTGCTGTTCATCTGGGTTGTCCAACGCAAGCGGCGTACTCCACCAGAGGGGGGTGCCGATTGCTGGGCCCGCGAAGACCCTGCCGACACCAAGCCAGCTGGTGGGGATGATGGATGCGAGGGGCTGCTGGGTGGTCGTGCAGCACCTCGCGCTCGGCTGGCGGTTCGCATGCTGCCGCGTCCAGCGCCAGCTCCAGACGCGCCCTGGCGACCTCCAGGCAGCGGCCCTTTGCGCGTTCTATTTAATTCCATCATCCATTTTTAGGGCGTCATTTAGCGGGAGACGCCCAGACCCGGCGCCGTTTCATGTTGAGGCCATGTGCACAAGCGGGCCTTTGCACCTTCAATTTTTGCCGAGGCACGGCACTAACACCTCTTGGCAAGGTGCTGACTGACTGCGCTGACGTAGCGGTTTTGTCACATAACCGTTACGTCAGCGGGCGATGGGGTCGTCACTTCCCTACGCCTTTTTATTATTATTATTATTATTATTAATCGAGAATATATAGATGCGAATATAGTTCGGTTCAAATCATCGTCACTGTTAGAAGAAACATCATCGCTCAAGTTGCCATCAGCAGGAATAATATTAATATGCTTGGATTTTCCATAAAAGCGCAAAGAATCGATTTCTGAAATAAGCAAACGGTAATTTAAAGCATAGAAAGCCCAATATGGCAGATTGAAAAAAAGACAAATAAGAATACGAAAAAATCTAGGCACGGAGATAAACTACCAAGCGTCTTGTTTTAGAGGTTATTAAGCATAAATTTTAATTTTTTAGTACGTTTTACTTATCGTTTAGTATTTTATTTTGAATCCCAAAACTTGCACTTATTTTTCTAACACCCGCCGACCGCACACATTAAAAATAACCTCAAATATAGTTGAAAAATGTCAATGAAAATGAACAAATGATTTTGTTCGAAATAACAAAAAATATGCTTCTTCTAATTTAACGTATTAGGTATTCAAGTTTTTCATTAGGCTAGAAAAAAATCATAAACCTTTTATTTCATATATGACTTGGTATGCGGTAAGGGATTAATATTTTTGTAGTAATGGGAGGAAACGGCGTTTATATAATAATATCTCACATCGCTAGGATAGTGCTTGGCTTCCTTCAACGGAGCGACATCATACAGTTGTCAAAACCGGCCCCGAATTCAATTCTATAGAGCACCATTGGGATTTTGCTAGCTAAGTATTATGATACGTAAGGCATAGAAGATCACTTCAATCTCAGTTCGCTGTCTAAAGCACTTGCATAAGAATGAAATAATAATCTCAAGTATCATCTTAAGAACTTAGTTTAGGTATAAAGTTAATAAAAATAAAATCCTATTACAAAAAGTACCTGTTTTGCATTTATTGAACTATTAATAAAAAGGGTCTCCAGTTCTTTAAACTTACTATACCAAACACAGAAATATACACCTGAAGGCCTACTCTCTTTCTCCGAAACGAAACTTCGTTATCGAACGAAATTTAAACGAAGTTTCGTGTCTGACCCTACTCTATATCATTTTCGGACGCGCACGCAAAGTTCGAGTCCATAGACAATTTTCGTGAACGAATGGAACGAACAATGTTATGTATTTTACGAATTTATTAAAATAATCGTGGTCTTTTATGCATATTATTCCAGAAAATCTTACTGAAGCAATAAATATACAAGTTTTCGAAGAAAATCACAGTGAAACTAAAATAACCCTTTCAATGACTGTTAACCGACTAAGTTAAGGTGTACAATAATATCAAACGGTGTTTATAGTATCGTATAACAACCAAACTTATCCGTATTATCACAATGCTGTCGTCATCACTTGAGGATTTTTTGTTTGCATTCTTTAAAAGTTTGAATAGTTTTATTATAAGAAGAATACGATCCGCTGCTGGCTCCGATGTCAGAAGTAGATTGTACCAGTATGAAGATGGACGTGCAGAGAGAGAGACAGTGAGGAACACCGAGCTCGCAGGCATCAGGGCTGCCTTGGAAGAGTTGCGTGACATAGGGCGAGATTATTTAGAGTTTTTAAGGCAAAATAAGCGTTAGGTTTTAAATAAATTTATTTTAGAATACTATTGTTTCTTTTTACTATTTTTGAGACTATTTGTACTTTCAGATTAAGAAAGCTAAAATAAGAACTTTATTATTAGTGATAGTTGATTATCATGACCATAATTCGATATAATATAAAGATACTGTTAAGTATTTAAAATCATAGAAGTTATTATTTTCTCTGTATGTGACAAAATATCTGCAATGTCATAGGTAAGGATTAAGTAAATATTTGTTGCCATTTTATGAACATCTAGGTAGGTAGGATAATGATAAGTAGGTGAAAAAATAAAACAGAACTAATTTTATGCCTAAAAATATTTTAATCTAGGCTGTTACAAGCACTTGTGAATGTCAAAGAAGCTACGCCATCGGTTCTCAAACCCTAAGCGGGAGACCTTGTAACGAGAAGAACCGGCAAGAAACTCGTTAAGGGCTGATTTTTTTCTCCTTGTACATTTCATACAGTCATCAAATTTGTAAAATGACCTTTAAGGTAATGTAATTTTCCACCACAAAAATTAACAAAAGTTTACATACAATGGGTAGGTATTGAAATTAATTATCTACACATCGGATAGGTAACAGCAAATAACTTTCAACTAGTTGAGAAATCACTGTCTACTAGGTACCTACTCGAAAATTCATACCCAAATAGATAATGTTGTACAATATGCAATATTAACTAAATTCATTAGACATAAAAGTTAACATTAAAAAAACGCATTGCTTACAATTATAACAAAATAAGAAGTGTATGTTTTAGGTAAGAAGTGAGTGCCATACATTTCAGTAATATTAATTCCTAATCCTATAATATTATAAATGAGAAAGTATGGATTTTGATTGTTACTTAATCACAAATAAACGGCTTAAATGTGGCTGATATGATGATGATGATGATTATCTCCTAAAACAAAAAAAAGTTTGTAATTGAGTTTATTTTAATCTACTTGCACAATTGTTTGGTTTGAGTTTATCTTACCGGTTCCTTTCTAACATTTGTATTAATGAATTCCTTGCCCTTCGACCTGCCTGTAGAGCTTGAGTAGAAGATGCGGCCGTTTCAAAGGGAACCTGCCTGGTTCTCTCCGATTGGTGTTCCTCTTCAGTCAACTCGGGACCTTCAATACCAGCCCTTATACACATGTTGTGTAAAACACAGCAGGCTAATATAATTTTACCTGCTGTTTCTCGGCAGTAATGGAGTTCCCTAGCTGCCAAAAGACATCTCCATCGACCCTTCAATACACCAAATGTGCGTTCTATGGTGCAGCGTGCACGTTTTTGGAGGTAATTGTACCTTCCCTCTGGAGAGTTCTCAACAGCATTATGTACAGGTGTCATCATATGCTCCCTTAGAGCATAACCAGAATCACCTAAAAATTTAAAAATGTAATATTAGTGTAAATTGCATCATCACATTACTTATACATAATGAATATCAAAACTATAAATCAAGACATGCCTAATAGATAAACTGTTTCATCCTGGAGACCCTCCAGGTGGTTTCTTATCTCACATTCCCTCCAAATATAAGCGTCGTGAGTTGCTCCACCATATGAAGCATCAACATTTGTAATTAATAAATCACTGTCACATATCTGAAAAAGAATTTCCATCAATGTAACATAGGATAAAATGTAAGTAATAAAATAGTGAATGTCATAATAAAAACATTAAAATATTGTTCCTAAACTTACAACTTGAGTATTAATCGAATGAAAATGTTTTCGATTAAAATATTGTTCCTCATGCTCCGAAGGCCTCACTATGGCTACATGTGAACAATCGATGCACCCCACCACAGCGGGTAGCCCATATTTATCATAAAATCTACAATAAGGATACAATATTATTATACAATAGCAAATTGTGCAATAAAATTATATTTGTTTTTGCACGACTTATTTGCCTAGTCTTGGCACACTTTTTATGTAAATTGTTCATTTAAAATAACAGAATAATATTTTAATTACTAGGTATTTCACATGTTAATAAGTTTAACGGTCAATACTAGATAGGAAGGTAAGTACTTACTTCCGCTTAATAAGATTCCTTTCATTCCTATTTTGTGGGAATCTTATGTGCTTCCTTAGTATGTGGGGTGCATTAAGTGCAGTTGTTACTTCTTGTAAACAACGGGACACTGTCTGTTGTGCCATGGGCCCATCCATATTTTGTCCCACTGACCCCTGGTAACTTCCTCGGGCATAAAAATTCAAAGCAGTAAGTATCTGAAATACATTAACACAGATTGAGGCTTATGAACAGTAAAATGAAAAATTAAAGAGAAGGGAGTGTTTAAACAATTTAAACTTACTTTAAGTGTGGGCTCGATTCCATGTCGTCTTCCCTTTGGAGGCAATAAAGGCACTATGTCCTGGCACAACTCCTCGAATAATTCCCGACTAAGTCTGTAATTTCCGACAAACTCTAGATCGGGAATATTTGAAATATTTAATTGATTACGCAGGCGGCACCGGTTCCTTCTACGCTCCAATCGTTCTTCACGTAAAGCAGCCGCGATTAAAAGCTGTCTCGTAGCCATTTTAGTTGAATTTTTAACAAAATCGACCAAAACGAAAATAAAAAGTTAACACTTTTGGTTTCGTCAATTTGAGGTTAAAATTACGAACAAGTATCTGTCAAACTTCAATTTTTGTTCGTAACTTTAGTGCAATAGAGTAAGCTTAGAGAATTTAAACGTCAAACTAATTTCGTTTCAACGAAGTTTCGAATCGAATGGAACCATGGTAGGAATTGAGCGAAATTTCGATCGAAATTTCGTTTTTCGTTGAATTAGAGTAGATCTACTGCTATTTTACGTCGGTAATCTGTAAGAGCGTGGTTTTTGCTCGTTGAGCTAACTCATTTGTGCTGCAACTATAACCTTGTGTTCGTATTTGTATAATGTATTCATAAGAAATACTCGCAGAAACTATTTATGACCAATATCGGTCGTATTCACGTTGGTCTTTGTTCCCCTTTAAGACGCATCATCATCATTACAGACTTTCACAAGTTTATAATCAATATTTTTCAACAAAATCAAATTAAGTTATATATTATGATCACTAAAATCCTTTTAACAACGGCTAAAAAAATCACTATCATAAATTTCAAACCTATATAGACATCCTATATAGCTCTTTTTTACAATACTATTTGAGTCTTATTTACAATCAAGTAACATTAAAGAAGTAAAAATATTATTTTCCTTTCAACTTTAAAAAGCAATGAATCTTTCGTAATATTTTTATTCAAAAACTACTTCAGTTTCACAACTGCGAATGAAAGTTCCGGCTGTTGCTAGCACAATGGAAAATAAAAAAGTTGTTACAAGTATTTTTGTCACGTTGTTAATTCCAACTGAAGTTGGCATCTCCACGTAAAAAGCTACTTAAACTTTTTCTCTAACTCGATTAACAACTTCATCGCAAATCTGCATAAAGAAAAAAATATAAGCAGAAGGGGTAATGAAAGTTTGTTTTAAGTAAAATAAAAACAAAAATGTGGAAAAAGTAAGGTTGTGTTCCACTTTACTGCGTATTTCAAATCAGATTCGGCGCTTCTTCCTTGTTCGGAATATGTATATAGGTAACTTTATTTTGGAGATTTGGTAGATCAGCCCTTTTTTATTAATTTTATTTTTTTTGTTTTTGGTTGAATTATAAATATTATCAATACGGTCAATCGAAAAATTCTATGCCCAACCCAAAGATTAACTAATAAAAGGGTTATTTTTTCTATTACGCTTATAGTTGCCACTATATAATACTACAATTCATTCATAATAGAACGGAAGAGTGGGCGGAGCCCGTGTAGACAATAACATGACATTGACATGTCAATTCACACCTATAAATGTCAAAACAATCAATTGTTTTCAATTTTATTGTCAAGCGTCTCTTCATTTAAATTATTTAAAAAATGGCAAGTTGCGCAATAATTGCGAGTCAAAAGAATAGCGGGAAATGGAATTTAAATAAAGGAGACATATCCTACAACCAGTAAGTCGAAATTATTTATATATTGTAAATATTAGGAACAAAAATAAAGAAATATTCATGTGTCGAAAACATTGATCAAAAGTCTATAAATTCGCTAAGTCTGTCAATACTACGAATCGGGTTTGTAGTAGTGTTAATACAACGTAATTGCTTGTATGTGTGCTCCCGACGGCAAGCAGAACGTCCATATTAAGATTTTATATATATATATATATATATATATATATATATATATATATATATATATATATATATATATATATATATATATATATATATAATCAGGTATAACAGGTGGCTCAGTACCGTATTCTGTGGCATTTTTCGTAAGAGGCTTTGTAACTAAAGATAGGGTTGGGTATAAAGATAAAAATATGAGAATTGTTCCTTTTTTTTCCTATTTCCACCCATATGGCTCTCACCGGTAGACACTGGGTTAATAAAGTCATGCTAAAGAGAAATAAAACAACACAAAGAAACTGAAAGAGAGATCTCATTTGCAAAAACCGAGAAGAATAGCTTAAAAGCGTTGTTTAATTATTGTATAAATAAACTTTTATTGCCTTTGGAATTTTATTTTAGAACTCATTAGAACAGTACGCTGTTCAAATTCTGTGGAGATCTGAAATTCGAACTTAAAAGTTATTACGCAGTACACAAAATATTGTGTTACATGATATTTTTGAAGTATTATATTATTCAGTAATGAAAGCATAAAATATTTTTCTTTACAATTGTATGCTTAAATACCATCCTAAAAACATAGCATCACCCTATTATGTCTGCGGTTATTGTAAGAGTAATGAGTTTGATAGTTGGATATAATGGCTGATACGATATGATATCGATCGATACGATAAATCTAATAACTACATCACCCCAGATGTGAAATACCCAGACCGTAGACTTGTTCATAAACCCACATTCATTTTCCAAATTAAATTTTATTTAAATTAAATTAAAAACTGTTATATACGAGTTTTCTGAAAAAAGATTTTTCTCTACCTTTGAATACTAATTCTAGTAAAGCACTTTTTTATAAGATTGGGTGATAAACGAGCACACAATCCACCTGATGGTAAGTGGTTGCTGTGGCCCATAAACACCCATCTTCGATTACGAATCAAAATGCAGATGCGTTGTCACCCGTGAGGACTTAAGTGGAATTCCTCGTTTCCAGTAAAAAGGGTCTCCGGTTCTCTATACTCACCATACGAAACACAGCAGCAGCTACTATTTGACGCTGGTATTCTGTGAGATCGTGGTCCTTCCCCGGTCGAGCCGACCCATTCGTGCTACAAGCTACAACTATACCACTAATATAACTGCAACATGGCTCTACCACGTAAAAAATTTAAACCACGCACTTAAAGGGAACCGCTGGGTTTTTTAAGTATATGTTGTATAAAAATTAATGTTTTATTTATAATTATAATAATAATATAACTATATATAATTATATATAGTATATATAACAGTATATATAACAGGTTCAAATGCAGAAGGCGGTGCTCCTCGATACCGCCCGCATCGTCCGCCGGTTTCTTTCCCTTTCCCCCTAACCCTCGGCCGTTTGGTCTCCCCTGCCGAGGGCTTCCATCTGGTTGGGCTTTTATTTATTTATGTATTTTCGTATTTATTTTATTTTATTGATATATTTGTCTTTTCATTTTCGTTTATAATTATATATTTATACATCCCAACCAGATAAGAAAACTATATAGATACCCCAAACATAATAATAATAAACATAATTTGGCGTAGGAAATTGACGACCCCATCGCCCGCTGACGTAACAGTTAAGTAACAAAACTGCTACGTCAACGCAGTCAGTCAGCACCTTGCGAGAGGTGTGAGCGCCGTGCCTCGGCAGAATTCAGGGTGCAAAGGCCCGTTTGTGCTTATGGCCGTCCACGATACGGTGCCGGGCCTGGGCGTCTCCCGTTAATGGACGCCCATATTATGGATGATGGAGAAAAAGATAGTGCGCAAAGGGCCGCTGCCTGGAGGTCGCCAGGGCGCGTCTGGAGCTGGCGCTGGACGCGACAGCATGCGGGCCGCCAGCCGAGCGCGGGGTGTTGCAAGACCACCTAGCAGCCCCCGCATCCATCATCCCCACCAGAAGGCTTGGTGTCGGCTGGGTCTTCTCGGACTCAGCAAGCGGCACCCGCCGCTGGTGGAGCACGTCGCATGCGTTGGTCTAAATCAATGAATGAAAACGCACTGCGGGCGTATTTTAGGGCAACAGGGGAAGAAACTGGATGTTTGGCGTATCGGGCTCGGATGCATCGCTTTTTTGCAGAGCTGGAGCCATCTCTATCAGTCACTGAGCAAAACCTGGCAGACCGAGTTAGGTACATCCTGCGCTCCAACATATTTGGTGACGCCGAACTCGAGCGACTCGACGTGAGGCTATTCCTTCATCGAATGGAAATGCAACGGCTGGGAATGCGGCGCCACTAGATGCGCAACAAACTGCATATGTGGATGCTGCCGTCAACATTCCATTTGTGGCTAATTCAGACGATGATGGAATAGTCTCCCACGAACTAGAGAAAATGAGGAGCATATTGGAAGAGTCGATGCTGGAAACGCGCAGCATGCCTCTCGAAAATCGACCGCGACTTCCCCACATACCCCTTAGCAAGCGAAATCGGGCTGTCGTGCGGGCTCTTAACCCAATGCTGGTGACCTATTTGGAAGCCAGCCGGGATCTTTGCGAGACGGATTCAATTCTTTTTGGCGCCGCACTGGCAGTATGCCGTATTATTGGCGCCAAACTTCCCGTGGCTGGACGTGCTACTCAAAAAGTAGCGCCATCCCAGCTTGGAGAAAAAGAATTGAGGACCGTATCGCAAAGGCAAGGGCCCTTATCGCCAGACTGACAAGCTTCAGGTCGGGTAATAATAGACCGAGTATTATGCGCACCGTTAGGATGGCGTTTGCTGGGACAAATATCAGTTTGTTCCAGCCGGATATCACGCAAAAACTAACGGAGCGCATAGATGACCTGAAGCAAAAAATCGCTGCTTGGGGGAAGCGGATTCGACGATTTAGCGAGAGGTCAAGGCGGTTCAACCAGAATCGTCTCTTCCAGAGTGATCAGAAGAGGCTCTATAAATCATTGGAGTGACCAGAGGTATGTGGAGCGGGCCAAGGACCGGATCAGGCTGACACTGTCGCATTTTGGCGTGGCCTGTGGTCAGAGCCAGTAAACCACAGCGAGGGCCCTTGGATGGAAGTTGTGGCGAGCCAGAGTGCAAGTGTTACGCCTATGGACCCCGTCACCATAACGCCTGAAGACGTGGCTGAGGCGGTCCGTAGGGCCCCGAACTGGAAAAGTCCGGGGCTCGACGGGCTGCATCATTACTGGCTGAAGGGGTTCGTAGTGTGTCACGCTGTGCTAGCCCGACAGTTTCAAGAGGCCCTCGATCAGAAGTCGCTCCCGAGCCTCTTCACTACTGGGATCACTCATTTGGTTCCTAAAGATCAGGATACCACAGACCCGAGCAAATACCGCCCCATCACGTGTCTACCCACCATATATAAGACACTGACATCCATTTTGAGCGCGAGAATCACTCGTCACCTGGAGCTAAATCAGGTGATGTCACGCGCTCAAAATGGATGCCGGGGCGGTGGTCGTGGAACCAGGGAACCACTCCTCATTGACGCGGTCATTGGCAAAGTGGTGAAACGCAACCGTCGGAATTTCTCCGCCGCCTGGATACACTACAGAAAGGCATTCGACTCGGTGCCCCATACATGGCTAAAGAGAGTCCTCCAGCTGTACAAAATTGACTGTACAGTTGGAGACTTCCTCGAGCAGTGTATGGGGCAATGGAGTACGATCCTTTGCTATCTGGCCGAGCGGATGATGGCTGCGGAGAACCACATAAGGATAAGAAGGGGTATCTTCCAGGGCGATTGTCTGAGTCCAATCTGGTTTTGCCTCTCCCTGAACCCTCTCAGTACTTTACTGGAGGACTCCGGGAGGGGTTTCAGCTTCGGAAAGGGTACAAGTGACCCACCTTTTCTATATGGATGACCTCAAGTTATTCGCCTCCAGTCGCTCCCATCTTATGGAATTGCTAAGCATCACTTGTGAATTTAGCAATTCTATTGGAATGGAGCTGGGAACGGATAAGTGTGCGGTCCTCCATGTTGAAAGGGGGAGGGTTGCTAACTCTGAGGGCATAGACTTATCTATGCCCGTCAACTTAAGGACCCTTTCCGAGGCTGAAACATACCGATACCTGGGTATGTCACAGAACATCGGTATCGATGAGGCTGGTATGAAACAGTCAGTTTGCGACGTGTTTTATGCACGCTTGACCAAAGTGCTTAACAGCCTTTTGTCCGGTGTGAATAAGACACACGCATATAACGGCTGGGTCATGCCTGTCCTCATGTATACCTTTGGCATACTCAGGTGGACTCAGACTGAACTTAACGCCCTGGATAGAAAAGTCCGCACTACCATGACGTCCTATAGAATGCATCATCCGAGATCGTCGGTAATGGGTCTTTTACTTGCCGCGAAAGCATGGTGGGCGTGGCTTCTTGAGCACGCTCACCATGCATAATCGCGAAGTTTGCAGCCTCCGTAATTACTTCCTGGCGAGATCGGATGATCCATTCTATAAGGACGTCATTTCTAGTGATAAAGGACTTACCCCTCTATCCTTAGCCAACGAGCAATGGCAAGACCCAGCAGTGCAGACAATTTCCGACCGGGAGAACGTATGGAAGGAGAAGGAGCTCCACGGGAGGTTCTACAAGGCTCTACATGAGCCTTTCGTAGACACAGTAGCCTCCCTCCACTGGCTACGCTTTGGTGATCTCTTCGGGGAAACCGAGGGTTTTGTCTGTGCAATACAGGATCAGGTTATTAAGACCAACAACTATCGGAGATACATCCTAAAGGATGGCACCGTGGACATCTGTTTAGCTTGTCGCCATCCCGGTGAGTCACTTAGGCATGTCATCTCCGGTTGTTCGGCGCTTTCTAACTATGAGTACTTGCACAGGCACAACCTAGTAGCCAGAATTCTTCACCAGGAGCTCGCTCTGAAATACGGTCTCGTGGATCGGAAATTGCCGTATTACAAGTACTTGCCGGAAGCCGTGCTCGAAAATGATCGCGCCAGGCTCTATTGGGACCGGGCCATCATCACAGACAGGACTATTCTTGCGAATAAGCCTGATATTGTGCTGATGGACCGGGCACAGTCAAGGATATTTTTGGTCGACATTACCATTCCGTATGACGAGAACCTCGTGAAAGCCGAAACAGACAAGCAAACAAAATATCTGGACCTGGCTCACGAGGTGACTGACATGTGGGGTGGTCTGCCGACCGAAATTATTCCTGTAGTCGTCTCTGCAAACGGGCTAATCCCAGTCAGCCTCTCGGGTCATCTGAGGCGACTGGGACTACGTGGCTGACCGCTCCGGGCTCAAATGCAGAAGGCGGTGCTCCTCGATACCGCCCGCATCGTCCGCCGGTTTCTTTCCCTTTCCCCCTAACCCTCGGCCGTTTGGTCTCCCCTGCCGAGGGCCTCCATCTGGTTGGGCTTTTATTTATTTATGTATTTTTATATTTATTTTATATTATTGATATATATGTATATTTATCTTTTCATTTTCATTTATAATTATATATTTATAGAACCCAACCAGATGAGAAAACTATATAGATACCCCACAATAATAAACATAATAATTTATAGTGTTTATTTAATGCGCTGCCATTATATTCATGAGATTGTAATAAAACTTAAACTAATTGCTTGCACTTGCATGAAAGTTATAGGCATAGTATAATCAACTTACAGTAGGAGGCACTCGTCTCGTACCTAAGAATTTTAAAGTTATATTATATCATTCAATTTAAACTAATGTAACATCGTTCTTAAGTCAACAATATAACTCTATCAATTATAAAACGATGTTTCCACAATTATCTCTCTTAACAGCAACGCGCCGGGTATCCACTAGTGTTATATAAAAATACACTAATAAAAATATAAATAAAAGTCACTGATTTGTTAGAAATACCTATAAATAGCAATATCTTTTTCAAGCGAGTTCAATGGAAGAAATTGAGAAGGTAATAGAGCGTGATCCGTAAGCCTTTATTTGCCTAAACACCTCATCGTACCCGCGGGAAGTGACTGTGACGTTTATGTTTGCAAAATTATAATAAAAAATCGCTTCTTTATTGTAACGTTACGTTATATGAACTCATAATAAATAACAATTACGCTTCACTTTAGATAAATTTAGCTCGACTTCGAAATAAGGGAGGTTATAAATTAGACCCAGAATTTTTATATATGTTGTGCGATATATGCGATAATTGTTAATCAATATTAATGGTTGTTTCTTTATCAAATAGATTTTACAGGTTTTGCTTCTTGAAACAATAAAAGAGTATGGGATTCGAGGCCCAATGAACACATGTTTCCGCAATTACTTGAAGAATCGAAAAATACACACTATGATTAACGGAACGACTGGGGAAGAAGCCGAAGTAACACTGGGTGTGTCAACCGGCTCCGTATTCGGACCTGTTGGGTACATCATGCACGTTAATAGCATTGATAATGCTGTAAAACATTGTTCCACTTACATGTACGCCGATGACACAAGCCTGATGTACGCTAAGAGAGATGTTGAAATTATAGAGGAGAGGTTGCAGGCTGATTTCGTTAGTATTCTAAATTAACATCATTGTTCATTCGTACGAATGTTTACATAATAAACTGGAACAATGCAAATGTAAAACCATAGAAGTTGTGAATATATATAATTACACGTACTTATGGCTATCAATAGACTATAGTTTTAGTTGGAAATTACATATTGACATTGTCTGTGATAGGTTAAGATCCATATTATCTAGGCTTAATAACTTAAAACTTACAGTAAACAGGTAAATCTTATATATGCTTTACTATGCACTGGCTGATTCAGCCCTGAGTTATGGACTAATTGCATATGGACCAACTTTTCAAACATCATCATTACATCATGAAAGCAAACTTGTTACACGGAATGTGTCCGGAACGAAGTCGCATTGCTAATACAACATATTTTCTATTCAATAGACATTGATTAAACCAAGGCACTTTCGGAGGCTGACTCTGGATGTTTTTGTACCAAATAAAATGGTAGTACAGTTGTAGCACGAATGGGTCGGCTCGAATGGGGAGCGACAACGCTCTCACAGAATACCAGCATATAATACTAGCTTAATGCTGCTATGTTTCGTATGTTGAGTGTAGAGAACCGGAGACTCTTTTTAAACAATTTGACAATGCATCTGCATTTTGATTAGTAATCGAGGATATATAGATGTCTATAGGCCACAGCAATCACTTACCATCAAGTGGACTATGAGCTCGTTTGTCACCCTATCATATAAAAAATTCGGTCTATAACAGAAATCAGATTCTGGGTCAGGAATAACAATACGTTTTTCTGAGGTTGGCGAATAGAGTTAGGTTCAAAATCATCGTCACTGTTAGAAGAAATATCATCATCGCTCAAGTTGCCATCAGCAGGAATAATATTAATATGCTTAGATTTTCCATACAATAGCAAATAATCGATTTCTGAAATAAGCAAACAATAATCTTGAACGCATACGAAGCCTAATATGACAGTAGTGTTTTTGTAGTAACGCATAGAAAGCCAAATATGGCAGATTGAGAAAAAGACAAATAAGAAAGCGAAAAAAGCTAGGCACTGAAATAAACCACCAAGTTTCTTGCTTTAGAGGGTATTAAGCATATTATTATATAATTTTATTGAAGTGAAAACTTCTTTAGCGGTGTTGTACAATTTTTTGTAATGGGTAAAAAATGTGAAACTTACGTCAGGATTACGTGACCCTGATTGAAAAATCGTAAGACGGATGGAGAGAGAGAGAGACAGCCGGCGCGGCGTAGGAAAGGAAGTATCCCCCTCTCTTTCTACGGCGCGGCGAAAATTTATGCCTGCGTAAAAAGTACTCTGTGGCCTGCTGTTTCGTTTAGGTGGCGCAGGGCGCATGCGCGAATGAACCTAATATAAATTGTCATGTTTGTGTACGACAGCGCAATGAATAAATATTGTATTCTACCACATAAATGATAGTACTTTTATACTGATTTTAAAGCAATTCGTGCAAAATTATTCCCTAACCATTCCAAAATATCAAAAATGCACAATGTTGTTAATATTCAAGTTTTCACTTCTGCTAGCACCCTAGAGTGCAACCCGTTGTTTTTTTTTAATACTTTTTCTTACCGTTTCGTATTTTATTTTAAATCCCAAAACTTGCACTTATTTTTCTGACACCACATGCTTTACGAAAAACCTCAAATATACATAAAAATGTCAATTAACATGAAATAATGATTTACGTTCGAAATAAAGAAAAATATGCTTCTTCTAATTTAACGTATTATTAAAGAACAAGTTTTTCATTAGGCTAGAAAAAAATCATAAAATTTTGATTCCATATATGGCTTGGTATGCGGTAAGAGTTTAAGATTTTTGTAGTATTAAATGGAAGGAAACGGCGTTTAATATATTAATATCTCACATCGCTAGGATAGTGATTGGCTTCCTTCAACGGAACGACATCATACAGTTGTCAAAACCGACCCCGACTTCAATTCTATCGAGCACCATTGAGACTTTGCTAGCTAAGTATAATACGTAAGGCATAGACGACCCCTTCAATCTCAGTTTGCTGTCTAAATTATGTGGATAAGAATGAAATAATAGTCTCCAATATCGTCTTAAGAACTTGGTTTACTTATAAAGTTAATAAAAATAAAATTCTTTTACAAAAAGTATTAGTTTTGCATTTATTATAAATGTAACAATTAATAAAAAGGGTCTCCGGTTCTTTATACTTACCGTACCAAACACAGCAATATTCATCTGCTATTTTACGTCGGTTTTCTGTGAGAGCGTGGTTTTTGCTCGTCGAGCCGACCCATTTGTACTGCAACCACAAGCTAGTGTTCGTATTTGTATAATTTATTCGTAAGGAATACTCGCAGAAACTATTTATGACCAATATCTGTCGTACTAACACTGGTCTTCGTTCCCCTTTAAGATGCATCATCATCATCATTGCAGACCTTCACAAGTTTATAATCAATATTTTTCAACAAAATCAAATTAAGTTATATATTGTGACACTAAAATCCTTTCAACAACGGCTAAAAAAATCACTATCATAAATTTCAAGCCTATATAGACATCCTATATAGCTCTTTTTTCAATACTATTTGAGTCTTATTTACAATCAAGTAACATTAAAGAAGTAAAAATATTATTTTCCTTTCAACTTTAAAAAGCAATGAATCTTTCGTAATATTTGCATTCAAAAACTACTTCAGTTTCACAACTGCGAATGAAAGTTCCGGCTGTTGCTAGCACAATGGAAAATGAAAAAGTTGTTACAAGTATTTTTGTCACGTTGTTAATTCCAACTGAAGTTGGCATCTCCACGTAAAAAGCAACTTAAACTTTTTCTCTAACTCGCTTAACAACTTCATCGCAAATCTGCACAAAGAAAAAAGAGAAATATAAGCAGAAGGGGGTAATGAAAGTTTGTTTTAAGTAAAATTAAAACAAAAATGTGGAAAAAGTAAGGTTGTGTTCAACTTTACTGCGTATTTCAAATCAGATTCGGCGCTTCTTCCTTGTTCGAAATATCTATATAACTTTATTTTGGAGATTTGGTAGATCAGCCCTTTTTTATTAATTTTATTTTATTTGTTTTGGTTGAATTATAAATATTATCAATACGGTCAATCGAAAATTCTATGCCTAACCCAAAGATTGACTAATAAAAGGGTTATTTTTTCTATTACGCTTATAGTTGCCACTATATAATACTACAATTCATTCATAATAGAACGGAAGAGTGGGCGGAGCCCGTGTAGACAATAACATGACATTGACATGTCAATTCACACCTATAAATGTCAAAACAATCAATTGTTTTCAATTTCATTGTCAAGCGTCGCTTCATGTAAATTATTTAAAAAATGGCAAGTTGTGCAATAATTGCGAGTCGAAAGAATAGCGGGGAATCACTTAGAGCATTTTGGCTACTGAAATATGACATGAGAAATGAGAAACTGTGAGAAACTCTAAATAACCCGGTCTGTCAATGTGTTGACATAGCTCAGAATTCAATGGTAACTCAGAATTACTGAGATAATCTCAGTAATTCTGAGTTACCATTGAATTCTGAGCCATCCCTATTCAGATCCCCTTTTAACAAATAACTTGCTCCTTTTTAGCATCTTTCCCCTTAGTTTTAGATGTATAGATTATTTTATACGCGGTAGAGACATGCTGCAGTTATATTAATAGTATAGTTGTAGCACGAATGGGTCGGCTCGACCGGGGAAGGACAATACTCTCACAGAACACCTTAATACCGCTGTGTTTCGTATAATGAGTGTAGAGAACCGGAGACCCTTTTTACTGTAAAAATTTTGATTCGTAATCGAGGATATATAGATGCGAATATAGTTAGGTTCAAATCATCGTCACTGTTAGAAGAAATATCATTGCTCAAGTTGCCATCAGCAGAAATAATATTAATATGCTTGGATTTTCCATAAAAGCGCAAAGAATCGATTTCTGAAATAAGCAAACAGTAATATTTAAGGCATAGAAAGCCCAATATGGCAGATTGAAAAAAAGACAAATAAGAATACGAAAAAAGCTAGGCACCGAGATAAACTACCAAGCATCTTGTTTTAGAGGTTATTAAGCATAAATTTTATTTTTTAGTACGTTTTACTTATCGTTTAGTATTTTATTTTGAATCCCAAAACTTGAACTTATTTTTCTAATACCCGACGACCACACACATTAAAAATAACCTCAAATATAGTTGAAAAATGTCAATGAACATGAACAAATAATTTCGTTCGAAATAACAAAAAATATGCTTCTTCTAATTTAACGCATTAAGTATTCAAGTTTTTCATTAGGCTGGGAAAAATCATAAACCTTTGATTTCATATATTGCTTGGTATGCGGTAAGGGATTAATATTTTTGTCGTAATGGGAGGAAACGGCGTTTAATATAATAATATCTCACATCGCTAGGATAGTGCTTGGCTTCCTTCAACGGAGCGACATCATACAGTTGTCAAAACCGGCCCCGAATTCAATTCTATAGAGCACCATTGGGATTTTGCTAGCTAAGTATTATGATACGTAAGGCATAGAAGATCACTTCAATCTCAGTTCGCTGTCTAAAGCATGTGCATAAGAATGAAATAATAATCTCAAGTATTGTCTTAAGAACTTGGTTTAGGTATAAAGTTAATAAAAATAAAGTCCTATTACAAAAAGTACCTGTTTTGCATTTATTGAACTATTAATAAAAAGGGTCTCCAGTTCTTTAAACTTACCATACCAAACACAGAAATATACACCTGCTATTTTACGTCGGTAATCTGTAAGAGCGTGGTTTTTGCTCGTTTAGCTAACTCATTTGTGCTGCAACTATAACCTTGTGTTCGTATTTGTATAATGTATTCTTAAGGAATACTCGCAGAAACTATTTATGACCAATATCTGTCGTACTAACACTGGTCTTCGTTCCCCTTTAAGATGCATCATCATCATCATTGCAGACCTTCACAAGTTTATAATCAATATTTTTCAACAAAATCAAATTAAGTTATATATTGTGACACT